ATAACCTCAAATTCTCCATCTTCTGAGGATGGGATGCGTTAAAGTCGTCCTCCGCAAACTGTTAAACTTGGGCTAAATTCAAAATGAGCCTAAAAGAGTGGCCTTTTACTATGTCTGTTGCGGTACCTGGGCTGAGCTTCAATCACCAGATTCTCATACGATATCAGGCTCTTCACGAATCCAGTAAAATTTTAAGAAAAAATTTTGTTTTGGTATCCACTATTATATTAAAATTTGAGTTTGGTATATTCTATTTTTAAAAATTTTATGTCGGTATCTCGACTTTTTAAAAAAAAATTTTACCTCAAAGCCATTTTTTAAAACACAAAAAGACAAAATTACCCTTATTGTAAAAATTCATCTGTTAGCTAGAATTTTGAAGAAAAAAATTTTAAAAAAAGATTTTAAAGAGATGAATTTTTAAAAAAAGGATTATGATCTACAACTATAACAATTTTTAAAATCCTTTCTTTTCTTTAAAATTCTAGTCAACGGATGAAGTTTTACAATAAGGGTAATTTTATCTTTTTGTATCTTAAAAAATAGCTGAGGTACCAAAAAAATATTTTCTAAAAAGTTAAAGTACCTGCATAAAATTTTGAAAAATAAAGAGTACCAAACTCAAATTTCGAGTTTAAATATAACAAAATTTTTAAAATATTACAAACATAGTAAAATTTTAACATCATTAAAATAATGATTATATCATTACATGGTACAAATTGACGTCGTTATAATAATGATTATGTCATTTTTGCTATATTTATAATATTATGAAAATTTTGTTAAATTTCAAATGAAGATATGAAAATTTTGGAATGTGGTGTAATCAAGATATAAAAAGTCTTCATTTTTTTTCGTCCTCATTCCACAAAGTTCAAATGGAAATTTACTATTAATTAAACCGTGTTATTTTGGAGCAAAACCCACGAAATCCGGTCCCACACTCTTCAAACTTTTGTTTCTTGAATATGCGACGCCAGATTTTGATTGATCATCAATATGTGTCTGACGCGATAGATTATGAGGAAACAAATCTTTTTCCTTTTCTCAATAAGAATTGGGCGAAAGAAAAAAAGTTGCTCGTCTGAATCTTGCAAAAATGGATTGATAAAAGGTAATGTCACGTGGACCTGAAAATTCTAAGGGAATTAATTGGCTGATGGGTCTCTCTCCCTATCAATAATGATTCTTTACATCATTAGAACGTTTACAAAGCAAAAAAAAATAAATGGGACCTCTCTATTATTGCCTTTTTTTTTTTCTCATACCCAATAATATCTTCTTTTATGTCCTCTTCTCTCTTTTTTTTTTTTTTTTTTTTCCCTCTCTCAATAAATTATATGGTACGCACTGAAATACAGTGCCACATTTAATAGACATGATATGTTTATTTAATTAGGTATCCGTGAAGAGGGAAAAACCACTTTGAATTTGAATTAGTTCTCTCTCTTTCTTCACCAACAGCCACAAACACCCCCACACTCCATCTGAAGGATTCAATATTGGAGTTTAGAGCAATTGTTTAAATGGTCAGGAATATTGTGTTGGGAGAATCTCCCAACAAAAACTGAATCTGAAGATGGTCTACAGTTCTTTATTGTAAAGTTTATGCATAAAAATATAAGGCAAATTTTTGTCCTTTTTTTTTTTTTTTTTTTTTTTTTTTTTTAAGGGGGGGGTTTTTTTAGCAGAATGAAACAAAAATAAAAATAAAAAGGGTCAGTAAAAAGGCTTGTCCTCTTTTAGGGGGGGAAAAAGAAAAAGAAAAAAGTCATGTATTCCTTCCTTGCACTATCACGGCTTAAATTATTTTTTTAATCTAATCGTGTGGCCATCAAACCTTAAAATGATATTGGCTTGAAAATGTCCATATGATGAGATTTCTTTTTATTGGTGCTTAACTGAGATTTACCCTGTATCGTTTCCTATATTATATTCTTGGATTTTGCCTTTTGAGAAAAAAAAAAAAAAAAAAAAAAGGTATTTCAAACACTTTTTGTGAATTAATGAAAATCTACGTGCTTGAAGATCTTAGCTTGTACTAATGATAAAGTACTAGATTGCACTAATATCACTAGATCCCAAGCACTTGCAATAGACCGAATCAAATCTTTCTAGCCCTGATCAAATAGATAAATATTTTCATAGTTAGGCCTAAACGTAATAGTTATCACTATTCTCCTCTTTCTCTTTCTTCTCCCTTTCTAAACAAAACATCATTGCACATTATGAGCTACACTTGTTTGGTTTTTTTTCCCCCCCTTTTTCTTCTTTATTTTCTCATCGCATTTTTTTTGTGGAATTGCATTGGCCAACAAATACCAAATACCTCAAAAAGTAGAAAGTATCTTTGGTAGGACAAAAAAAAATTTTAAATTACCGGTCATTTTTAATTTTTTTTTTAATTTTCGTATTAGTATCAGAAATTATTTATTTTGTATATTTTTTAAAATCTGATATAATTTTAATTAAATTTAACAGCAAAAAATTAATATAACTGATAGAGAAGCTTATTAGAGTCTCAAAAACTAATGTCATTTCAAAAGAAAGAATAGAAACATTTAGATTTTGTTCATTTTACTGATTTGAGTTTTCAGTTTTAGATTTAAACAGTTAAAAATTCTCAAAAAATATCACATTTAACTTTTTTTATTACAGTTAAAAACTCTTAAAAAATATCACTTTTTAACTCGAATTGAAAACTCAAATCTAACGAGCTTAAGGTACCATGACAATACAAGGACCATAGGTTGTGGTCCCAAAATAAGTGTAAAAGCTATATAGGCCCATTGGAGCTGCAAAGTTTGGACCTATGAAACGCCAGTCAAGTAGGATTTTATTTAGAAGCTCTTTTTGGGGCCCCATGCAGCGTCGTTTTGTCCTGGTAAGCTTCCTCTGTCGGAAATTCTGCACATACAGCGTACCATCACATGATGCTCATATCTCCTAACGCACATCCAAAATTGGGCCCACCATCTCCCATCTATCTACTTATGATTTTTCAAAATTTAATTTGTATGATTTTTTCTCTCACCCCAAATAAACACAAAGCTAAAACTATTGCACTTAAAAAGTAAATTGAGGGAGAAAAAAGCTATGATGTAGAAGCAAAGATGTTATGTGCATAATAGTGATAGTGATGTACCACCATTACTATTATTAATGTGCACAATTTGTATTTTGGACCTCACCAACAGTGATATAATTCAGCTATCCCTGAGATTCTTTGTAAGTTTCCCCAGTGCCCTGATTCCTGAAAATATGCCTGACTTATCCTTCACCGCCATTTGGGTAGCTTAACAACTGATCATCACTCCATGAACAAATACCAAAAAAAAAAATAGAATGTGACAAGTTTGTTCTTCATTAGAGGACTTGGTATTATGTCAACAAATTTGCGGCAATACTTTTTTTATCAACAAGCTTAGCTGCTTAAATGTAAATTACATAAAGGTACTTTTATTAATTGTTATTTTTTAATGAAAAATTGGAGACCTGATTTTAAAGTAAGATGCTACTCAATTATTGAACCCAATCCAAAGACCTTGAACCCATCATTAATAGTCCTTTTTGTTCTATTTTGGTCGAAGCAACTGCCTCTGGCGATCAGGCCCAAGATAAGAATGGGTGGATATAGTAATAAAAAAATCTACCTTCCATTAAGTTATTTCTTTAATTTTTTTAGGAGGAAGGAGACAAATGTCCTTTAGTATGTATGAATATGTATTTTTTACTTTTTATTTTCTATTAATTTTTTTAGTTAAATCATTATATTAGTCAAAAGGGTATTAATTAAGAGTAGAGAGTACAAATTTAGACCACACACTTTAATAATTTTAACAATTTTCTTTTAATTATTTTATATTCGTCTCTTAGAATTGTCTAAGTTAATATATAGTTTGAGAAAGTGAGGAGAAAATTCATGTAAAAAGAAAACAGTGAGGGCATTCTTCTATATTTTTCTATAAATTACTTAGGGTTCGATTCGAGTTTTTAATTTGAATTGAGATGTGATTTTATGTAAGAATTTTTTACTGTAGCAAAAAACTTAAATATAACTGTTTATGAGAATTTTTTACTGTAGTAAAAATTGAATTCTAAACTTGAATCGGTGAAATGAATAAGACCTTAGTATAAAAAGGGATAAAAAAAAATTGTAGAAATGGTAAATAAGTCATAATCATAAAACAGAAGGGTTCGATACTTGGATTAGATTGCAGATCCCCAATAAACCATCTCATATATGTAAAAAAAAAAAAAAAAAAAAAAAAAACTCAGGGCCTCTCTGGCGTGGGGAATCCGGAATCGCATTGTAAATTGAGCTCGTAGAGAGTTAAAAAAAAAACAAAAAATAGGATTAAAAAAAAGAATATTATCGTTAATTAGTATAATAATAGTGTGTGTCAAGCGAGAGAGTAAGAGGTGCGTGGTCGTATCGTCAGCTAATCCATTTCTTATTTACAAGGTTCAATTCCCAATGAGAAAATAGATGATAAAGGGTAGGCAGAATTGGTTCTAGTTTTTGGTCTGGTAAAACTTGGGAGTGAGTGTGAACTGGTAAAAAAAAAAAGAGCATATATACATACATATATATATATATATTTGATGTAAGAGAGAGAGATGATATATATAACCAATAACGAACGTAGACTATTTTTGTTGTACTTAATTCCCTAAAATCAAATTGTGGCCAGTGTGTTTCAAGCAAAAAAAATTGAGGCCAGTGTGTTTTATGCTTTGTGGATCCGCTTTTCTCGCCTCTTTCTTCTTCGTGACCATGAGCTTCCCATGAGATGAAATTTGAACTTCTTGCTTTCTTTTATCGCTCCAAATCTCTCCCACCAAGTCTTATATATAATTCCTTAAAACTTCTGCTTCTTTTATTTTTCGTCTCTCTTCTTCGTTATTGTTAGAGACGTTTCTTTATACATGATATTATAGATTGTTTTTGTGTGTGTGTGTGTGTGTGTTGAAAAGAAATATACAAAAGCAAAGTAATGGGCAAAGAGTGGTATTGGGGTGGAAAATCCTCAAAGAGAGCTGGTCAAAATGTGGATAGAGACGCCATTTCTTCATCATCATCATCATCATCAGCTGGTTGCATGTGTGCTGTGTTTCAGTTGTTCGATTTTCATCAGTTTCAGTTCACTAGTTTAAACCACCCTCATCATGAAACAGCTTCTAGTTTCAAGCCCACAACTAGTAGGAATACTACTAGTACTACTCTTTATCAGCTCCCACAAGAAGCTGACAATATCCCAAAAGGTACTACTAAATATTCTTTGATCTCTCTCTCTCTGTTTTTTTTTTTTTTTTCTTGAAAATTTTGGGGAATTTTAATATGGATTAATAACATTTTAGGTGTTGAGGCACCAAGGAACAGCTTGAAATCTGAGGAGGGAAGCACTTCACTTTCATCCATCATAGAAGAAGAAGATGAAGAAAGTTTAAACTTAAACATCCCGGTAAGCATCTTAAAACTAATAATGTCACTTTTATATATTTTCTCTTAACTTTTGAGTTTCAACTTTTGATATTGATATTGGTGTTTGAAAATCCAGATGGGGATTCAAATCAAAACAAGTACGGGATCAGGTTCAAGATCAGCAGGA